GTTGTGGTCTAGCTTAGTCACATCTGTACTTATGTAACAAAAATAACACTTTGGTACTTAAGAGTTAAATCTCATTTTTCAAAAAAAAAAACAGGTATAGAATACAAAAAGAAAGAACAAACCATTAATAAAAAAGTCTTGGAAATCATGAGTCATTCTGCCTCGGGCCTTAGTGAGTCTAATTGCCTCTTTTGAATTTCTATCTCATATTTTAACGCTTGTATCCTTAATGCATGTTCTATTCTTGTTCGAGCTTCTTCTGAGCATGGTCTGCAATAACATTCTTTTTATCAACCAACTAGTTGTATCTTTCAGGGAGCTGGTTTGATGACAGTGACCTTGTGACTGTCTCAGTAGGTCTTCTACGATTTGATGGCTTGCAGGTATTAGCGCGTTGGCTTGCTTGGCTTTCAGCCTTATCACTTTGTGCTGGCTAAAAAGGTTGAAACATATAGTGGAACTATTCAAAACTGTGAATGTCTGTTATTGTACAAGATATCTGTAGTAAACAAAGAATACTTTATCATACAGTTACTCACTTTACTGATAGATCGCCTCAATTGTGCTGAAACAGGTTTTTTCAAATCTGACCCTTTCTTCCATCCCCTTAATATATCTGCTAGTTGCGCCATACTCCTGGAATTGTTTTCTTGATTCCCATCTTCCATCAATTGTGATGATTCAGTGATGACCTTAAAAATATAAGAATTAGTAATTTATTATGGAAAACAGTTGTAAGCAAAAATGAGTATCTCTACACTGCCGTGCTTAGCGGTAACACCGCATCTACAAAACATAAAGCATGGAGGAAAACATGTTTTTTCTTTTTCTCAGAGCCGTAAGAGAGTTCAAATACTTTCGCTGCCTTATATTGTCATAACCAAGTATATTCAATTGAGAAAACATATTTTCACAAAACTGTAGAAAAAAAATGAGTGGTTTTATTTTCATGCCAGATACTGCATTTCTCTTAAGCAAGAAGTATAATGAAAATCACAGGTTGCTTGTGATTAATGCGGTACTGCGTTTTTGCTAAGTGTTTCTGCTAATTACTTTACAATAGTTTGTGACAGATAGAATTATAGTCTCGATATATTTAAAAACAGACTTTTTATTTTGATTCTCTTACAAAGTAAAAACAAAAATACAAATATTCATAATGATATGCGCTAAATACCAAAGAGCAACACTAATTAGAATCAGTTCTAGCAGGTATATTTCGCCAAAATTCTTTTCTGTTTTCAGGCATTATTGTATTTAACACTTTTAAGATGTTTTCCTTTTTTTCTGAAGGAAAACCGCGAGGCTTATGTAACGGCTCCGGCAATTTCATACCATTGGGCTTGGTTGCTTTAAACTGTAGAAAATCTAAACAATTATTCGGTTCCCATTCCGAATGTGAGGTTTTGAAAAGAAGATAATATTGCCCTCTGCGAGCGGTAATCTGAACAATGTCTTTGAGATAAATTCGATTCATTTGTTTCTTTAATTTTTGTTGTGAAACAAAAGATTTGAAAGAATAGAAATCTGAAAAAGACATGTTTTTGATTTCTACTGCTCCCTTATTTGCTTGGGATACAGCATTAACAAAATCTGGAAAATCATACGTTTTTCCTTGTTTCATTAAGGACAGCTCCACTTGATGATGAAAATGGTCTGCTGACATATATGTATGTCCTGGTTCAAAATAATTAATGACAATTTCTTCAGCACTTATTTCACTTGAATTTATAATGAAAACAAGGAAACTTAATAAGCACCAATTTTTGTTTTGGCTTGAGCAGTTATCAAGCCAAACAGTGATTTTTTCCAAGTCTCTTTGTTTTTTAAAAAATGCATAAAATGCACTTGTAACATCTTCTTGGTCTCTTCCGCTTATACCTTCATGCCAAAGTACTGCAAAAGGTTTTGCCAGACTCTTTTTTCCCAGTGGAACGAAGCTCTCATTATAAACTGAAAGCCTTTGGATAAATAAGACCCTTTTAAATGTTTCTAACCTTGGCAACATTATCACTTTCTCTAAGTCAGCAGAAAAATAAGAGTGACTTTTTTCATTATCATGCGCTTGTTGTCGATACTTTTCTCGTGACTCTTTAGCCATATCAATATGATATGTCCAAATCGTGCAGGTTTCACATCCAGGTTGAAGATTATCTTCATTATGCTCATGAAGCTTCATACTCTCACAAGTCTCACATTCTTCATTGCCAAGTCTAGCAAAAGATATATTTTTCTTTTTAACCTGACATCTATATATATTATACGACACCTTAATATTAGGAAATGTTTCTAAAAAATCAGCATGCATGCTTCTGACAGTTATATCGCTGGGGAGATATCGAACATTCGGTGCATGTGCACGTCTGTAATGTGAACTAACTGGATTATAAGACTCAATATGTGCATCTATCTCATTTTTTTGAATAAAGTTTGCTGACCGACTTTTCCCTCGTTGGTCTTCTAAAGGTACTATGCTTCCTTTTGGCGTTTTTGATAGAACTTCATAAATGAATCGATCATTGGTTGGTTTGTATCCGAGAGTGGTCAAATAAAAATGTTTACACACATGTTTTCTGACCCCAGAGCTGTCTTTGAAGGTGTATTTGAAAACATTATGTCTAACATATGATTCAGCATTCTTTTCTGTTGTTCGACGCTTAATTTCCAAACGTTCGCAAGAGCTTAAAACAAATGATCTTCTTTCTGCATAAGATAGTTCCCAAAACTGATTATTGATTTCACGTCTGTGATCCTCAGAAAAAGGTACTGAACATCTAATTTTACATTTTTCCTTATTACACGAAGGGCCGACAGGATGTTGTGCTTTTATTAATTCGGCTTTTTTCTTTTTCCTGCTAAACAAACTCTCGGTGATTTTTTTTCTTTTGGGTGTAGTTCCAGCTTTTGTAAGATTAGCATCTTTAGCAATCTAAAAATCATAAAAAAATAGTGTTTATTTCAAATAGAATGTTTTATTTACACAAACCAGTTCATCTTCAACTACAGATGAATCTGGAACATCGTGGTCTTCCTAAAATCAAACGAAAACTTAGCTGTTTTTTTGTATGAGATACCGATTGCAGAAAGCAAAAAGTATTATCTCTATAAATAAACATCTGATAAAGATCTGATGAATTTCGATGACTTATGTCATTATCATCCGACAAAGTCTTATTTGTTGCAAAATACAAATAATTAACCATTCCAGCCTTTTTGCTGTATGTTAGTAACAAGTTATTAACTCCACTTCCAACATGCACTTGTGAAGTACTTAAAGATTCTTAATATTACGAGATCTTTATAATTTACCTCACTTTTTTGAATTTCTGTTTCTGTAACAGGGTTATTTACGACAGCATTTCCAAATACAACGTTGTCTAAATCAGTTGTCTCAGATAAGGCATCTTTGAAACATTCAATTATCATAGGCGTGTCGTTAGTGATTGGTTCAAGAATCATACTATAATCAGTATCATGTGTGATGATACCCAAATCTGTGTTTTGTGGTAGTGCCTAAAAATAGCAATGAATTTAAACTCTCCTAGAAAAAAAATACTTTAAACTATGAAATCAAGGAAAATTGATTCTCTAATATTTTTATCAAGTGAATATATATGCAATATATATACACGTCTAAAAATTGAATTAAATATTGCAAACAGGTATCTAAACCTACCTCAAATTCAGCTTGAATTTCGCAATCTTCTCTATCTGCCATTAAACCTACTGGTTCTCTACTGCATGACACCAGAGTGTAATATTTCAACATGTCATTAGATTCAAATTGACTCAAAGTTGTGTCTAACTAAAATGACAAAAAAATAAATATACTTGCTGCACCATATGTAATTTTAAACTAGTATCTTACCTCTATATTTATTAGTTCATTGGCATCATTTTGAACTTCAGCAGGTAACGTAGAAATACTAGCTGGAGCTTGGTATGTAGCATCCATGGCTAGATCCAAAATTAATTTCGTTCTTTTGGACATAATGAAACAACCCTCAACAAAACACTTCTAATCTGTGCGGACCAAAACAAACAACTGACCACGTTTTTAATGCATCATCATAATAATTAATAACGGACAAGACACGACTTGTACTTGGGAGGAACGCGGCAATTCACATGTACTTAGCAAAAACGCAGGATCTGACCGGAAGATGTTGCATTTATGCTAAATAATGTTAGATACGGCAATTTTAATGAGCATGCAACCAAATTTTTGTTAGTTACTGCAAAATAGTTATGTTGTTTTACGGTTATGATGCTTCAAACGGCATTTTTACTAAGTTCTATCTATAGAAAACATGAATTCAAGCAGGAATATGTAAAAAACTCATTTTTCAATTTTTTTGTATATACGGCGTTTCTGCTAAGCACGGCAGTACAGTGGTCTGTTGGTTCCTGCTTATTGAATGTAACTCTACAACGATTCAGTCACAATTATGAATATCACACAATATTTCCACCAACTTCAACATTCAAAATTAAATAAAGTAGAATGTCTTTCCTCATATTTTAAAAATAAAGAATATACAGAATGAAAAACATTAAGGAAGAACAGCACATTTCAAGACTTTGGATCCCTTTCAAAAGACCTGTTACTATGCCCTAACCAAATCAAAAAACTGAGCAGTCATTTGATCAGAATTTGGGATCGTTGATCCTATTATAATATTTTTTAAGCTATATCTGAACATGATCAGAAATTTGCTAACTGTAAAATGTGACTCAACATGATAAATATATAAATATGATCGATTAATAACTTAATGGTTGCATTTACCTGATCATCAAACATATTCATTTCGTTTTCCTTTTGATGTTCATTGGGAGCTACATGTTCAATGGCCTTTACTTCATATTTCAAGGAGTCTTGATTTTTCGCAGAAAGCTGCTGCCTGACCCATATGAAGTTGTTCCACCAACAACAGTGAGTGCATCCACTATGGAAAAGAGTAAATCTTGGGATGTATTACCAGTTCTCTGTGAAGGCCCACCATCAGTTTCAAGTATTTCTGCCCTCGGTTTCCGCAGCTCCCTTTTTTTATTGTCAAATAGCTTTTTCAAGGAGTCCATTGTTCGATGCCTCCCTTCAAGGCAAGCTGCATCAAATTTCGCAGTAATTTTACTCCACGCCTTGTTTTTTTCTTGTACAGAAACACCACCAGTTTTTTTATTTTCCATGATCGCTGTAAATTCCGTAATTATAGATAGAAGTACTCTAGTTTCACTTGTTGTAAAATTGGCACCCCTTTTCCTTTTTTCGGCAGCACTCATGATCCACAATATAAAACTTTGCAAAAATAAAAAATTCTTCCAAAAATTGCAGCGCCACCTTACGTTACAACGTAACCTCAATGTGTAAGTATCTAAAATGTGCTTCTAACCACATGACCCACTAATGCCCTCAAACAGAACAAGAGGAACAAAAGTGCGCGAACTTGTGATAGCGCACAGGCACAATGTAAGTTACGCGGGTGCAGCTAGGGATGCAACCCAGGCTGCCCCCTCTGTGGGGTCTTCTGCGAACACGCAAAATGTGGACCTGGCAACCGCGCTAAGGTCCTGACAGCAGACCATAAGTCCTCTGATTACCGCAACACAGGCTATGCAGGCGATCGTTCCTGCATATGGCTAGGTACAATAGACAACAGCCTGCATTCATCAAAATCCTTTTTTGGAATTGTTTGGGTCTAAGGGACATTCCCAAAAAACGGGAAATTCATCAAGCTCTTGTGGACGAAAGTATAGATGTGGCCTTGCTGTAGGAAACATTACTTAATCCGGGACATCTTCTAGCTTTTCCGAATTACGATGTTATCCAAGCTGATAGACTAGCGGCTTGGCAGTTCTAGTGAAATGCGGTATTGTGGCAGGGGACTTCAACTGCAAACATTGAGCATGGCTTTCTAGGTTGAATTCCTCCAGTGGGGTCCGACTGTACAACCATGTGATACGAAATGGCTACCTCATACATAGTACTGAGGAGCCGCCGCACCACCCATTTAATCACCTTCAGGCACCTGATCTTCTTGATTTTGCAATATCCAAAAATTGTAGATACAGTTTCACTTCTCGAAACATGTATGACATCTCAAGCGATCATCCTCCCATCGTCTTGGAAGTGGCTAATCAGCAGATCTTTGAGGATGAAACCCTTCCAAGGAAACGCATTGATTGGGAGCTATACAAGTCGCTCCTAATACTCCGACCATAGATGATGAGCGTGAGCTGTACTTCCCGTGCAGCGTCACGGCAGATCTTTTCTGCTAGCAGATGTTCGTCAGAGAATTTCTGATAAAAGGGCTGCAATTAAGCAAGCGAAAAGGTCTTGCCATCCTGAATCTTGTTCATCAAGTAAGAAATGCTCTTCATGAATTCCGCAATGAGCAATGGAACGACTTTCTGGCTTGTATCCTTGACTCGATCATTCCTCTCTGGAAGGTGGCGAAGTCGCTGAAAAACGGAAAGCGTGAAGAAATCCCACACATCCACGGCCCTGGAGGCATTGTCTTCAGAATAGAGGAAAAGGTTGAGGTTTCCGCCGATGCCATGGAAAGACAGTTATCTCCGAACTATGATCTTGATAATGACCTTGACGAGGAACAACACATCGTAAGGTCTGTCAGGAGATATTTTAGGGCTAACGGCGTCAGTGATAGTCGCGCTACCGTTGGTGATTTTTCTTCATCAGAAGATTCTTCTTCAGAAGTTTCTTCAACCGAAGATCTGCTTAGCACATCTGCGGAGTCTCCCGAGATCCCGCATTGCACACCAGCAGAGATTCAAGTTCATATTAAAGACGTTAAAGTGCGTACAGCACCTGGGAAGGATCAACTCACTGAGAAGGCGTTGGAGCTGCTTTCGCGGAAGTCCTTAATTTATCTCGTGGCAATAGTCAGTGCCATGCTAAGCACCCAGTACTTCCCATCCGCGTGGAATACCGCTGAAGTTATAATGATTCTAAAGAAGAGGGTTCGATATTTCTCCAGGTTTATCGTCCCATTAGTCTGCTGTCAGCTCCGTCTAAGCTCGCTGGAAAGGTGATTCTACGTCACCTTGAGAATTTCTCGTCAGATCACCATGTGATTCCTGACGTGCAATTCGGTTTTCGGTCTGAATATAGTACAGAGCTACAGGCAGTTAGGCTGGTGGAACTAGTAACCAGAGGATTCACCCTTAACGAAAGTACTGGCATTTTGCTTTTAGATGTCTCACAAGCATTTGACAAGGTGTGGCTTACGGGCCTCCTGTATAAACTAATCCAAAAGGGCTTCCCTTTTTGGCCTCTGAAACTACTGAAATCCTTCCTTGAAGGTAGGAAATTTCATCTCAAAATTGACAATGACCTAACGACAACACGGCTGATTACAGCCGGCGTCCCTCAGGGTTCGGTCCTTGGACCTATCCTTTACTCACTGTACATCGATTGGTGTTTTATTGCCAAAACACGCATGCGAAATCTGCAGGTTCTGCATAGCAAGACGTTGCGCACCATTGCTGACGCCCCAAGGTATGTCTCTAACGAAACTTTTCATAGAGACCTCGATGTCCCTTACCTAAAGGACCAGCTGCATTAAGCAACAGGCACAGCGGCACTATAGCCTAGCGAAATCGCACAGCAACCCTCTGTTGCGCGAGTCAGTAGACCACACAGTCGAGCAAGTTCGCAAGCACAGAAGGCCGCGGCTCGTACTGTAATCAAAATTAATTCGTTAGGTTAGAACAACCAAAATTGGAGCATTTTGACAAAATCTTTAGAAACAAATCGAATATATTCAGACCATATCGAAATCTGTGAAGTGATTTTAATAATCCCCAAACGCTGCCTATCCTAAAAGATTCTCTTCTTCCCCTTTGGTCTCGTTCTTCCTTCTTCTCTGCTTTTCTTCCCTTTTTTCCTTAGAATTGTCTGGGTTACCAGACCTGACAGACTTACAAACTGACACTGTGACTCAAGAGCTCAGGTCCCACGGACCGTTCTAACAGCCAACGATGACTTGACCCTCAGATGTCCACACATTTTGGTGAGCCAAACTATCAAAGTAAGTGGTTAACCACGTTCATCTCCTGTCAGATATTAAATGCTCACCTCATCCTTGCATGAAGGCGGCAAGTATCTGCAGCTGCAATACACACAACAGCGGCTTTCTCTCTACCATGCCATCCAAACATTTGCAATAATAATTACCTCATGTAATTACAACGTGTTGCGTAATAATTTCACTGTGTAATTTCCGTTGTGGTTGAAGTTTCCAACTTCATGGCAGTTTCATAAACAGCAGAGAACGCGCGACGGCCCACAAACTCAAATCTGAAATCTGTTACAAGTCTGAAATGTGGTCTAGTTACCGACACCAAAAATGGGGCTGCCGTCTCTGTCATAGCATACAGAGCATTAAATTTTACGTATGTATATATATAGATTCAAAGACTTTGCTCCCAGTGTTTATGTATGACATCTGCTGCGTATGTGCATAGGCGTGTATGTGCTTCCCACACCAGCTGGCAAGCAGCTATTGTGCTTGTAAGAAATGTCGGAATTGAAACACGATGAAATCCCGTTTCACCTATTTCAATCGATCTGTTTGTTGTCTGTCCTGAAATTATTTATCCTGGTATGGAATAAAAGATACGAACATTGCGACAGAGAAAACGAGATATCACTGACGCAACGAAAATTTGTTTTTCGATCATTTTTCGGGTTTTCACATTTTTTTGTTGTTGTTGTGACGAGTGGTCTTTTTAACAGCTCCCAAGCTTTTTATAACTTGTCTCATACTCCAAGGCCTAGTAGAAAGTGTTCGGGCGAACCAAAAAATTGTGATTGAAATGATATCACTAAGAATCTTCGTGCACCTATACAGAGTATTTCAAAGTAGATCCTCACCATTGGGATCTCGGAAAGTGTAAAGCATCCCACAAACCGGCGCGAAATATTCGCTTTGGCTGCGAAAATTTCGCGGCGATGAATTCGCGATCAGATTAAAACGCGGCGGTTTACGGACAGGCTCAGACTTGTGCGAAGCGAATGCGATTGTTCCAGCGTTTTTATCGCGGCGTATTTCAGTTCGCCTTTGACCGCGTTTTTGACGCCGTTCTTCAAAAATTCGCAATGGCAAAAACGGAATTATTGATAGAAATAGTGAAAAAGTATCCTTGTTTGTATGATTTGTCGAACGATGAATACAGGAATGTGAGAAAGAAAGACAAGATTTGGATGGAAATAGGAAAAGAACTAATACAAATGGTATGTACCTAATATTTTTATTAACTTGTTAAATAATTTACAGTCTACACAAATGTGAAAACGAACATTCTATATATTGGGCATAGGCACATCAGAATTAAAATAATTTACGAATTTGTCACGAGTAGAAAATGCTAGCCTTGCTGCCCGCCGAGGATCATTTGCTATATCAGTAAAAGCTCCAAGCACGGGTTCTGGGGGATCTAAGAATTGAAAATATTTGTCATCGCCACTTTTACTTCGTAAAAAATTGTGTAAAACACATGCCGTACGTACAATTAGAATAGTAGGATCTACTTTAGTTTCTAATGGCCTGTAAAATATTCGCCATTTTTGAGACAAAATACCAAACGCCTTTTCCACGACCCTTCTAGCTCGACAAAGTCTTACATTGTATTTCTCTTTTCTGACGTCTGTTAAAGTCTGCTTATAAGGAAATGGTCTCATAAGGTATGGTTTTAAAGCAAATGCTTCATCACCAATTAAGACGTACGAGCAGATTTCATTTTGCCCAGGGAGAAATCTAGGTGCAGGAACACTCATTAAGTTTTGTTCAAATAGTTTTCCCAATATCAACAAATATAAATTTATAGTCCGGGCCAACAATGGCCATAAGTACTATTGAATATTTATGTAAATAGCACCAGTAATTGGAGCCACTGTTGTTAGGTCTCTTGATTGTTACATGTTTACCGTCCACGCTGCCAATGCAATTGGGAAATCCCCATCTATTTTCAAATTCTTCAGCACATTTTTTCCATATATTCTCTATTGGTTCTGGTAAATATATATGCTCCATATGTCTGCATATCGCGTCACAGACTTCGGTTACGATTGCCCTCACTGTTGTAAAGCCAACTCGAAAGCTATGCCCAATGGTATAGAAGGTGTCACCAGTGGCAAGGAATCTATAAAAAAATCGTTTTTAGGTGATGAAGTAAAAAAAAGGTGGAAGAATATCACAGACACATTTGCAAAATATATAAAATCTACCAAACCAAAGACCGGCCAAGCAGTGGGCAACATAAAAAAATGGCAGTGGGCTGACTACATGGAATTTTTCCGTCCTTTTTTTTGGCATTTGCCAAAACGTCGTCTAATGTGAAAGATATTGATGTCATACATT